CGCCAGCCTGGCCTTGAAGACATCCAGGGAGGGGGCATCCACAACATCTCTGGGCAACCTGTTCCAGTGCCTCACCACCCTCTCCAGGAAGAATTTCTTCCTGATATCTAATCTAAACCTCCCCGCTTTCAATGTAAACCCGTTACCCCTTGTCCTGTCACTACAGGCCCTTGTAAAAAGTCCCCCCCCAGCTTCCTTGTAGGACCCCTTCAGGTACTGGAAGGCTGCAAGTACTGGAAGGCTTCAGGTACTTATCACATGGGAAAAGAGACCAACCCCCACGTCTCTGCAACCTCCTCTCAGGTAGTTGTAGAGAGCAATAAGGTCTCCCTTCAGTCTCCTCTTCTCCAGGCTAAAGAACCCCAGTTGCCTCTGCCACTCCTCACAGGACTTGTGCTCCAGACTTTTCCCCAACTTCATTGCTGGACATGTGAAGATGGAGACAATCCATACCAGAAGATCCACTCTTCTACATCAAAATTGCACTGGTAAATAAATCAATTAATCAGAAGATGAAGCCAAACACCATGTTAATGCTCTTAAATTATTTAAAACAAGACCATAATCACTGAGAATATTGTTTTCTAATCATAGTAGTGAAAGATGAAATAAGCTATAAAAAGTCCCCATGACAACTTTGTATTGATTTTGCACAATATTTTTCAGATCTATTCCAAAAAAAAAAAAAAAAAAGCTATTACAGGGCAGATGTAGGAAACTAGAAGGCATTTTGCTATTTCAGGTGCCTGTCTTCCTGTAGAGAAAGTTTCATACATCCCACACCTCTGCTTGTTAATAAACAGTATCTTTTTTCATACATGACAAAGACCCAAACAAGGAGCTCAAAACGAACTTTTGCAGAAAAGCTGTATTGCTTCATGGGATTTTCCCTCAGGAAAGCTCTATCTGGTATATATTCTCAGTTACGGGATTCTAAGTCTGGTGCACCTCCATTTTTTACCATAAAATTAAAAGTATGCAATGCTTTGGTGTCGTGGAACAAAACCAAGATACATCCCTTTACAGGAGGTCTGGCTGAGAAAGCTGAGTAAACCAACACTTGCATTCTGCATCACTACATTACACACACAAATATAAAAGATACAGCATATTTTCAGTACACTTCTTATTAGTGTATTTCATAAGAAAACTAAATTCACTGTGACACCATAAGGATAAATGCTTAACGTTACTTTGAAATAAGTGGAGAACCTGCTTTTGCGATACAGTGGTCTGCACAGTCCCTAGGAAGAAAATTGTTGTTACAAACACTAGGTTAGTGGGAAGAACTGATGCACCTGCCTGCTAATTGCACTTGCCACAGATTTTCAGTACTCAGTGGCCTGCTGTAGGAGAAAAAAGGAATTCAAACCTCATTTTATAAAAGATGTAATATCAAAGTACACTCCAGCAATAACTGTGAGCAGCACTAACTATGAGCAAAGACATCGTTGCATTTCCCTTTCATCAGTTGCTCAACTGGTAAATTGCACCGTACCCTGTTACCGATTTCACAGGGCCACATCCTGGACCATGACAGTAAATGGTTTCTGTGAATTCAGAAGAAGAGTAGATTGAAACCGTACTTTGAGAAAAAACCACTTCGGGTCTACTAGAAAATTAACTGCTATGCCAAGAGCTGAGTGAGAACCTAGGAACTGTGTGAGGAATTATCACAAACAACTGCTGAACAGCAATTTTCAACAACTTCTTGCCTTCCCCACTAGACTGATGCAGTTAAAATAATCTTATTGAGACATGGAGATGAAAAGGGCAAATTATGTTTCCTGGAACAAGAAGACAGAAAAAATATCAAGTAGTGAACAGACGTGTCATTATTTCAAGGCCAGATTCTATTTAATTGAGCCCTAGGTTTCCTGGACCAAGAATTTTGTTCCTCTGCTCATGTTTCCAGGTGAACATTGCTAGCACATTGTCCAAGTACCATTTCTGCTGGATTTATAAACCTCCAGTGAAGTGTAAGCCTCATTTCAGAGCACACTACTCTCACCTGAGGCTGTAAAGATCAATGGTAGTATCAAAGCTGACAAAGCTGATCTCAAAGTCCTGAGATTTGCTATGGGAAGGGCTGTAAAAATATGGATCACTTGGCATGACTGTGAAAAAGGTCCAAGCTGACAGTAAACAAGCCCATGGGTAAACGGATTTTTATTCTCTCTCTGAAACTTTCTTTCAAATGAAATCTGTCATGAGATCAGATAAAAAGATTGGATACTTTAAACATGCAGATGTTTGGCTCATCAGTTTTAGAGTATGAAAACTGCTGATCAACAACCGTATTTATGGAATGGAAACTAACCTGTTGTACTTGTAAGTTATGAAACGAGACTATTTATATAATACACAAAAACCCACAGTGACGAAAACCAGATTCTTACTATGACTAACTCAATCACCAAAGTGCATCTCTCCTACATCCTTGTGAAGCGCCCAGCTCCTGGAGACAGCAGTCACAGGTGACATCAAAAATAACTATAGCAATAACAGCGTTATTAGTGCCGCCAAGGTAAGGATGAAATAAAAACAGCACCCACACTCTGCAACATCCTCACATCTATAAAAACAAACTTTCACAATGAAGTTGAAGCGGCAGGAATGGGACTTACCATCAACAACATCCTCCTGAAAAGACCCATATCTGCTGCCTCTGTGAGCAGGTGAATGCTGGTAATATCTGCCCCACCACGGTCAGCTCCTAAAGAAATCTGGCTTGGATCTCCTCCAAAGCTAGCAATGTTGTTCTGCACCCACTTCAAAGCTGCCAATTGATCCAAAAGGCCGGCATTTCCACTTGCCTCAGGAGAACCTATTGTGGAAAATAAATAAATAGGTCTGAAAAGAAATAAAACTATAAACATTCCTAAGTTGTGATTAAATGTCATGTTTTTAGCAGCTCTTGTAGCAAAACCTTGACAAAACTGGTATCGTAGCTTAAAAGACTGAAGTAGTCTCTTCCAAGGTCAACATTAAATTAATCCACTCCATTTCATTTTTTATTACTCCAAGAATTTAAAAGAGCCAGTATTTGGTGCTATAGTTACCATATACACTTATTCACTAAGGCCTTGAAGTAATAAGGTATTTTGTAAGACTTCTGAACCCAAAAAATCCCAAAGTTTCATACTATAAGCATGATGCAAGCCAGAGTAGAAGACTTTGTGGATATCTACCTGCAAAAATATATTCTGCAGCCATACCTGGGGTAGGATTTAACTAAGAGTAATAAAACATTATGCTGTTTAATTTTCAGTACTTACAGAAACACCTGATTATCGCTTTCTTCAGATACCATTCTGCAGGACCTTTTTATCCAAGCCCCACAACATAGTGTATTTCATTACAAGACCGTTACAAATGATGGTTCATAGAAAATTAATATAATTAGTGGTCCTTCCAGCTGTATCCTTGGAGGTGTCTAATTCCCTGATTACAGAAAAATAACACTCCAAATTCTAAGCTTCATTTGGACACCTCATGGTAGGAGATATAAATCCAGGCTCAAGTATCCATAAATTGGGATCATGAGAATCTTTATTCTAAATAAGTAGCTTGATCTTAAAATGAATTGAAAGGAAAAAAAAAAAAAAATCAGTGTATTTGCCAAATTCTTAGAATCAAAGAAACTTTTAGGTTGGAAAAGACCTTTAAGATCATCAAGTCCAACCTTTAACCTAACATTGCTAATTCCACAGCTAAATCATGTACTCCCATGCTTAGCAATCACCACTGAAAAGGCTATTTTCTTTTCAACACCAAGCAGTGGTAAACTGATACTTTGATTAATAGGAAACTAATGCTGAAAGCACCTAATTATGCAAATCCCTAGAAAAGCTTAGTTTTATAACAATAAAAGCAGAAATAAAGAATTCCTACACAGTCCTCAAGAAAGGAATAGAAAACAATTATTTACTTTCTACTTCTTTTTAATTCAGAATGAGGCATTCATTTTTAATGCTTTTAAATTCTCCACATTCAAAACTTAGGGGGAAAAAAACCCCAAACAAACAAACACCCAAAAACATAAGACAGAAAAGCCAGGAATAAAAACACAGCTGAAGCTATTTGTTTCTTCCATTGCCAAGACCAAATGGTACCATGTTAAAGTAAGGGTAGGCTCAGAAACTAGATAATTAAAAGGAATAAACAGTGGAATAAAAAGCTGCCACTCTGTGGACAGGTAGCCTGGTCTCAGGCAAAGAGCAATTGAAAATCTATCTTGTGGTAGATAGCCACATGCCTACTACAATGAAGTACTGACATATCATAGAGATTGATTTAAGCAGCAGAATAGAATATAGAGTAGACCAGATTATGGGTAGCCTTGAAGATCTTACAGATACCCACATCACAAGAGCTATCGTTATACATGCCCAATCAGAAGGCCAGGCAAGAAGTGAATGGCCCAAGAAAGTACCACATTCCACCTATAGCCATCATTTCAGATGATCAGGTCAAGGCACACCAGTGAAGCAATGGAAAAACAAACAAACAAACAACAAAAAAAAAAAAAAAAAAAACTTTGCCTGCTTTAATTTTCTGGGTTTTTTACAGTTTCTTCTGCCCACCATGAACAATTCCCAGGGTTATTAATTCAGGAATAAACTCACTCAATGCCGTTAAAAAGGAAACGTCATTTCAAGGGCTTGCTGCACGCCTCATGACACCTTCCCAGAGGAAGTGAAATCCATGTAAATGTTTTAGCCACACAATGTGCCTCACGACCAGGGGAAATATAACCAGTTCCATCTGCCCTGGCAAAAACCACAGCCAGGTTGCGAAACGTGCCACACTGGGGAACAGATACATGCACAGACTTTCACGGTAATTATACCGAAAGAAACGTGTCTGCCAGGAACATTTACCACTTCTTGACTGATAGGCTTGGATATAAACCTCATAAGTTGTCTTTTTGCAGAAAAAGATCATATTCCTGGGGACCACAGGAGAATGAAATAAAATGGTGTCCAGAAGGAAGCAGACAATAACAAGCATATGCGTTCTGTTATTACTAAACTGGAGAAGAACAATAGTGCTAAATTGGGTGCTGGTTTGTATGACTTCATGACTCAAAGAAGAATTACACCTAAAAACATGACTGTCTTGTCATGCTCTTGCCATCCCTATCACTGGCAGTTCACCTTAACTTTTCCGGGTGCAAAGTAAGAGGCAAAGGCATTAGTAAGAATGTGCATCACTTTTTGCAACATTAATGAGTGACAGCAAATTAAATTAAACATCTTGTACACTTAGAAGAATAAGAGTTCTTTGGCTGCTTGCAAAAGCCGTGTCAGTGAGAAACAAAGACAACTGCAGAACTAACAAAACAAATGCAACAAAGAAAAGGAAATATGCTGTTTTCACTACCCTTCCTCCCCCAAAATCTCTATTTTACATCTTCACTTCTAGTTTTGCAATTTGGAACAAGTCAACATGAGAGGATTCAGCACTTTGCTTAGCTGGACAATGAAACTCATATTGCTCACAAGATCATGACTTTTGTTTGTAACTTCAGAGCCTTCTGACAGTTCTGCTGCTAATGTCCCCACAGTCCTAAGGGTGAGCTCCCACCACCTTTGAAACTGAGGGCAAAACTTCCAATGGACCAGGATTTGTCCAAGTCTTTCACTAAGAATGGCAACACCACTGTACTATCGTTTGACTCTTGAGAAAAACTCTTGGAGTATTCAATCCAGCTTGATAACCTTCACTGGAAATCAGTGGATATCCCACTGGATACTGGTCATGTACAGAAACAGTCCCAGGTACTCCACCAACCTGCGGTAGATCAAAGATTAGATCTTGCAGTGGGAGAATTGCTCACCAGAATGGGTGTGAATGGAAAGCCGTGCTGACAGGGAGCCTGGAACAGACACACCACAGCTCATCAACCCCACACTGACTAAAGGTGATATTGGGGAGACAGGACTGTGGTCCTGAAGGAATTTTTAGGGCTTCCCATGAATGTAGTACTTAGCCTGCTCCAGTGACTCTTTGAAAGAGGTTTTCCTACATGCTCTAGTTTCCTCTGGAGCGATAGGGTTTTCCCAAATGCACACCAAGGATTTCCTGCAGGGAGAGAGGCCAGGGAAGATTGCACTTGTCCCTGGATGCAGCTCCACAGGACAGAGAAGGCCCCAAAATACTCCCTGCTTGTAATAAGCCACCTCTATCTGAAGGTCTGCAGCAATGCGAATTCGGTACATTCAGCTCATGCACTGAGTTTTTGGGACAGGCATACAGATCCCTATGAAAAAGAGGTTGGAGAATTGTCCTGATCCCTAAATTACAGACCATCATGTAAATACTGCTGTGTAATATTCAGCTCAGCTAGCAGTTTCCACTTAGGATGAAACGTAGGTGACATTCACAGGCTGAAGGAGGTTAGTGGGTAAGGCGTGGGCAGTGCTGCGTAATGGAAGCTCGTGCAGCAAGTATCCTCGCTGCATTTGGCACTAGCCAAAATGAAGCCACAGTATCACTTTCATATCTGTTTTGCACTGATGAAAACAGTGATTCTTTGCTCAGATACACCTATTACCAACTTCACATCTAAATGAGTAAGGAGTGCCAGCTCTCTAGTTACTGAGTGAAAAACAGGTTTGCTGGGAGTGAGCTTTGACCAAAGCTTCACTAGAGAGAAGGGAAACAATAACCAACAGCTGCAGCTATAACCCAAAACTAGGCAAAATCCACCCAGCCTCACCAGCAGTAAATACTCAAAAAAATAATGAGGCAAAGAATGCAGGTATGGTATTTGGAAACACGACAAATATAAACTCCTAAAGATTATAAAGGTACTAAAATATGCACTGGAGAGACCAAGGACTGACACTCAACTGATGGAGCCAGGGGTCCACTTGCAATTGTTCATTTTCTCTCCAAGGCTCTCTCCCTGAAGTTCCCCTGCCCCAGCTGAAATGAAAGATGGCAGAAAGAAAAATATTCCCTACTTGCTTAAACAGGCAAATCTAATCAAAATAAAAAAAACACAAAAACGATCCCAAAGACCAGATGGAACTACTACAAAGGTTTATGGAGATGTGAATTTGTGTTTTCATGTGTATGTGCCTCTGCACAAGATAAAATCCTGTATGTAAAGGGAATTTGTACGATTTTTTTAACAGCAAATGGTATTAGGAGGCAACAGGAGAACAAAAGCATCCTTTACCCTAGCATGTGGGGAAGGCATGCAAGCAGAGAACATGTGAAGGTGCAGACACATCCAGGACATTAAAGGGGCTGATAGAATTCAAATTAAACTTGTCCTTCAGGGGAGAAGTCAGGCTTACTGAGGGAACAAACCAACTCTCTTTGTGCTGTACTTTCCATAGTTTCACATCCTTCTTACCATTAACCTGCTGTTATCCCTCTCTGCCTCTTCCCCAGTCTGACAGTACCACAATCGAGCATTAGTAAAATTTCATGGATGCAACAGCTGGAAGTTGGAGAAATTGAAAAGCATATCCACAATGACAGGCCGCTGAAATTAGCAGGAATTTTAATGCCTAACCTATTTCTCTGTGTGTCTGCAAAACCCAATATCCACAGTTTCATCTGCAACCAGAAGTCTAGACAGTGCTTTGATATAGATGCTTAGGATTTTGTTTGTTCTTGTCCCTTTGCCTCCAGTCTCTTCCCTTTCTCTTCAGATGAAATCCCCATTATTTCCTGACTGGTTTTCCCCCCAAACCCAGTGAAAGATACAGGTTTCTCAAATTTAAAAATAACTTACCCTTTTTTAATTAGAAACAGAAGCGTTACAGAATGCAGTTTAACCCATAGTTGTGTTTGTTCAAGAAATCCATGACTTACCAGTACTAAGGAAGCCAAAAACACCAAGCCGGTAGTTTGCTGTCACAACAATGACGTTACTGATGGCAGCTAGGTATGATCCATCTATGGTTATCTTTCCTGCCTCAGCATTGTAACTCCCTCCGTTGTGGAAGAACAGCAGCACTGGCATATTTTTGACCTGCCATGACAACAATGAGATTAATATTCCTGTAGCCAACTGCTTTTGTAGGTCACTGATGAGAACACAAGCATCTTCAGCGCTTACGTTACCTAAGCCATTCATAGTTCTCTAACAGGGACTGTAATCAGGGGAAATTCTAGGGCTGAATTGTCCACAATGACCTATATACCATTTAAGAGGATACTATGTCCAGCATAATGAAGATTTAATGGCACCATTGTGTTCCACCCACCAGGTAAGCTCAAGGGAGACTCATCCTGCTGACTTGGCCATTGAGCATGTGGTGGGCTTGTCTTTGCTGTTATCTGTCTGCTTTGCACACACAGGGAAGTTCAAACAAGTGGGAAACAGGAGAAGGAAAAGGCCTGTTGGGTTGCTTCATCTTGAGCAGGACTAACCCAATAACAGTGCAGGGCAGCTTCCTACTCACCAGTCTTCAAGTGCTTAAACACTGCCTAGCCTAAAAAAAAAAATCTCACTGGGCAAGAGCTCCCTTGCCCCTTCAACTCCCATGGGGGTTTTCCCCTGCTATATAGATAGTTGGGTCCTGCAGACAGGACTCTGTCTCAGTATGGGAGAGACTTGCAGAGCCACACGATTTTGCACAGAAACAGCATCTTTTTCCCAAAGCAGCACCGCATCTGTGCAGACCCTCTCTGCACACACAGCAGGGCTGCAGCTGGGCTGCTGCTGCGTGACCAACACGAAAGCAGAACTGCCCGGGACACCTCAGCATTTACCAGCAGATTACAGCTCTATCAGGATGACACTCTGAAGAAATACCAGTGAAACATATGGAGGGGTTTTGTTTTGGATTGGGTTGGTATGGGGGGTTTTTCCTGCTGCACAAAGCAGAATAACCTGCTCCAGTGCTAGAAAGTTTTGTCAGAGTTATATCTCACTTTTCCATTCAGCACTTTCATCCCCTATTGCCCCCTTTGGGACTATCCTGAAGGAGGCTTCATCTCTCCCCTGCTCATCAGGAGGTCACACACACCAACTCATCCTGCTTTCTGCTTTGGCAGCTGGTGGTGTTTTTTAAAAAAGGGCTGGTGGCCCCTGCAGCAGCATCAAAGTACATCTGAGGTTTGTTTTTCCCTGCAGCTAGAGGGCATTGGGCTCTGTTGCTGTTATTTTCTGGATGGAGCTTAGCTAAACACAGCAGTCCCATCTGCTCTGGCAAAGGATGTCTCCAGCAAAAATGCCACTGGTTACATGGCGAAGCAGCAGAGAAGTGATGGTTGCAGCCTCCTGCAAAATCACAGGATGGGAAGCAAACTCCCCTCACTTGCCCTTAGTTGGTCATGATTGTGTGCACTCCTCACCTAGCTGGAGAATAACTTCAGAAGCAATGTTACCAAGAAACCCCTAGAAACTGCAAGCACATGCTGCTTGTCCCTCAGGAACTTTTGCTCGTGAATAGAAATCGCCTAATTCACAGTGCCTTGTCCCTGGTTCCCATTTCTGCACTGCACACAGCACAGAGACAGAGGGGGGAGAAAAAAAAAAAAAAAGAATCTGTTTTCACATAGAAATTCATTCTAAAATACAACCACATCGAACCATGTCAGCTAAAACAGTGCTAAAGATGATGCTCAGCCTGCTCCATCCCCTGAGCACAGGGCAGTTAAGCCTGAGGTTCGAACTAGGCGTTTCCCACGTGTCCACAGCCTGCATCCACCATGACCTCCACCTGCCCTGAAGTTGGACATTACACTTTGCTGAATGATTTTACCCAATGCTCTAGTGATGAAAAGCTTAAGAAAGGTGAAGACGGGAAATAAAAGGTAAAAATGATGAAACAAAGCCTGCTGCAACAGATATGGAGCAAGCTGGGGGAAGATTTAGGACTGGAACTGTGCTTAGTGCCAAGTATCTGAATGTAGCATTCCCACTTCTAGTCTGCATTGGGCAAATACAGATCCCTCTCCTATGTAAAAGTAAACTACCATGAAAAATAATTTGGGTTTTAATCCCAAGGGATTTCAATCTCAGAGCTCATGGATTTGGGTATTTTTGATGAAGGCTGTTTAACATAATTGCCTTCCCATTTATTTTTAGCCATTTTAACAGCATAGCACAATTATTTTCATGCTGTAATTGAACTATGCCTCACAATATATTTCACGTCACCTATCTATATATATACATTTAGTAGTAATTCTTTGCTACACATTAGCTGCTAAGTAATTTATTTAGAATGTGACTTTCCCCCAAGTCTTGTTCTCAACCATATCCAATGAACCACTGCAATTAAACCTGTGAGGCAGAAGGGCCCGTCAAGACAGAAGATACGCAAAACCCTGACTAAAGCCTGCTGGAGCCAGTCTCTTCACCCCCCATCACTTGGTACTGGGCTCAGATGCAGCCAGCGCCAATGCCAGGCTGCAGTGGGGCACACACAGGGCAATGCTGGGCAAAGTGGGGCCAGTTCTCACAGACAGGGCATGGCTATCACATGGCTGCTGCCCACTGCAGGGTTTTGCTCCGTACTTAGCAACAAAACACAGACAGTCGCACTTGGAGGTGTAAAATCGGTGCAAAGATTTCCAGCTGGGACATGGTGAGAGGGCTCCGGCTGCCTTAGCTAGCAGGGGATGTCTTCTGGGGAGCCCAGTAGCTCCACCATGGTCTCATGCCTGTAGGGGCTTAGGTGTCCCCTCAAGGGGAAAAGTTCAGCATCCACCAGGAAGCTGCAAGTCAGCTGGAAATCTGAAAGTCTTTATAATATTCACAACCACCTACTCCTTCCCATTTAATGAGCTACTTGACAGGGACAGATTTAAAGTCTACCCATCCAGGCAACCTCAAGTGCTTTTACTACTGTATGATACTGCTCTGTAAAAAATTGAGTGCAACGGGGATGATGAAGTGAGGATGGGAATAGCATGTGCAAGGTATGGGAGGAGAGGAGCGAGGGTGCACTTTCTATTCTTACCCAGTGGATCTTACATTTGAACCCTTTGAAATCACACTGAAGCACAGCTTTACTTTGCTAGTGTGACAGGTGGAAAAAAGTTTCTCAGAAGTGCCAGTTTTACTTGGAAGGTTATGTGGTACACGTAGCTATGGAAGAAAAATGAGGTGTTGTCCTTCACCCTCTTCACTGTTTGACACTTTAAGAGTCCTTCAGTGGCAGGCAGCAGTCCCTGTCCCATGCTCTTGTTCAGGCTCAAAATGCTCCTGAGCAACCTCTGTATGCACTGCTCTCCAGGAGGTTTTATATTCAGTATTTACTAGCTAATTTAACTTTCTGTGGGTTGAAAATATATAAATATAGCTCTCCGTAGGTGAGTAAAACTTAGAATTCACCACACAAAGAAACAGGAAAATGCCATGCCTTCTGCTCCCGGTTACTTCTGCAAAACCAGAAGTTTTGGTTCTCTCTTGGGCTAGGCTTACGCATGTGAAACTGATTGACTTGATAGAACCTACTTCTACCTTACACCTCTACAAAAGACAGGAGGGATTGAGTTCTCAGGACTGCCAAGGGAAAAGACAAGCCAGTTTAGTCTATCAGATGGTAGGAAATACAATGCTTTCAAATAAGCTGTCTTGAAAGCAGCACTTAAGCAGGGATGGCAAACTGCCTGGGACAGTGACCTGATGTTTTCAATAAGCGATGACTGCACTCAAGGCAAAATGACTGTCTGATGCTGTGGGGAGCAAACAGACAGCTGGTCTTGCTGGTGATTACAAGGACCTGCAAGGGGCTGTGTGCTGCCGTCAGATAGCTACACCAGCTCTTTGCATGACAGACTCATAAAATTCTATTATAACTACCATCACCTTCTGAAAATTACCACTACTGTGGAAAGAAAAAACTCTGTTCCTGTGTTCTGGTCCCACTTTTCGATGGGAATCACATGTTATTCAGCATCTTTATCCCCAGCTGCCCAGGGTTTGGCCGATTGTCTAAGCTTGGCTCTAACTTGAAGCTTTATTTTATATCTGTTTAGAATTAGGAATTCAAGAGCTTTCAAATGACAATATCTCAGACAGTACCATTGGCCCACTCATCTTTAAAACATCCACTTTTATGCTTTGTGGGCTGGGCACAAATCTAACATTGCTCACTACCCTCATTCCTCAACAACCACAGATGTCAAAAGGGGAACAGTAAAGATGAGGGTGAAAAACCCATCTGCTGCTGCTCGACTGATGGTGAGTGTTGATGTGACGTGTTGTACAGCATTCTCGTCTTCTGGAAAAACAAGCTCATTTCAGGGACATTGCCGTTTTGGTTCTCAATTTGTCCTCCTTCGCTGCCACATTCTTCTTGTGTTTTGTTTCCCTCTTTGTCCTTTTATTTCTAGCTTTTTAATTTTCTACTCTTCTAGTCAACCAAACACAGCTCTGTAGGGAATACTCTTGTCCAGTAAAAGCAACAGAGTGTCTAATTTAACCTTGCAGTGCTTTTGAACACCACATGAAAAACAATCATACATGCCAATTAAAAGTACTTTGAAAAGAGACAGTGCTCAGCTAAAGAAGAAAAAAAAAAAATCAACTCCTCTACTTACAGTGGTGGCAGGAACAAAGACATTCAGATACAGGCAGTCTTCACTGACAGAGGATGATGAGGCCTCTCCATCTCCTGGCTGCCAACAAGCTGCCCTACAGACACAGATTTGAGAAAATTACAGTCATATATGCCCACCTATACCTCAGTAACAAATACACAAATGCGAAAACCACATTATATTTTCATGTCTATAATCCTTCCCTCAGAAAATCAGCACCATTTAAAAAAGATTAGAACTTGAAATTAAGCCTTCAGAAAACTCATGCTTTACATGAACTGCACAAAATTAGCACCAGAGGCAAGGGGAGCAGGAGTGGGGGTTTCAGGCACAGGTCTGCCCTGCTATTGCCTGCACACATATGCAATCTGCTTTTTTGCTGAAATGCCAGTTATTTATTTTAATTGCTAATAGTCTGTGGGCAATATTTTTAATATCTATTTTAATTTCTAATGGTCTGTGGGAAAATATGGTAATTTAAAAATATTAACACATTTTCAAAAGCTGTTTGCTCTGAGCATCACAGCAGAGCATTAACAGCGCCCAGCAATGTTAAAAGTAACCTTTCAATAGGAATTCAGCCAGCCAGCCACGTACAGAAAATCAGTTTCTGGCCATCATCTCTATGAGATTCTTATGCTCGAGTTCTCTCCTCAACAAGAATCAAGTGGATGACTTTTGCAGTTCAGATATAAGCTACTTTGAAGCCAGTTCCTTCTACTTCACAGACAGATGTTTATCACGTAACAAGTTATGGAAAAGCATCACATTAGGGAAGTAGCCAAAAGAAGCTATGGAAAACACAGTAATATCTTGGAGAATTATTTGTAAATTATCATTTTTAATGCTCTTGTAAAATTTTACAGTAAAGATGTGAAGAATTTAATAGAAAACTATAAGGAAAAGCACCAGCTTTAATGCAATTCTACAACATCTTTCCATGACGGATGTTCCTAGGCAGACAAAATACAAATTCCCAGGTAGGAGCCCAATCAGGACAACAGGCCTAATGCTGTTAACTGTACAGCTTTCCATGGTTGGTTTTTTTTTTTTTTTTGGTTGTGTGGGGTTTTTTGGGGTTTTTTTGTTTTTGGTTTTGGTTTTCGTTTTTGGTTTTTTTTAGCAACTCATCAAGATTCCAGGCACCTCCAGCTCCCAGGATCTCCTCATGCTGGAACTCACTCCGGGGAAAGGCTGCCACCTGCTGAAGCAATTCCACAGCTCCTCCAACAGCTGAACAGGTATTTTTGGTTGGTTTGGTTTGGGATTTTTTAAGTCTTTTATCAAGTCCAGACTGATAAATAAACATTTCTCTTCCATCAATAATGTAACTGTGCTAATGTGAACTTGTTATACGCAAATATTGTGCAACACGAATATAGAGCCCTAAACAATATGAATGTCAATGCTTTCTATACAGTGATTCTCCAAGTGCACCTCTATGTTGCTAAACTCAAAGAATTCCTTTTTTAACCTTAAATGAATAATAGAAAATAATGGCAAAGTTCTTCACTGGCCTAAGGAAACAGTGAGAATTCAAAAGATAGGAGCAGATTTACTAAGGTCCCCAAATTGCTTTGAAAATCTCAGCCAGGCTGCTCACTGCAACACCAGGTCTTCAAAGAGAGACCACAGCGGCAGATGGCTCTTACCAAGGTCCTCGCAGACAGCACGCTGTGGCTGCAGACACGGAGTGATGGTATGTGTGTGTTAACCTAACATCACTGTGCACCTGAGGAAACAAAAAGCCACACCGCACCAGATCCCTCTAACGCACACGGGGCTGTGGTCGTACTGTTAATCTCAGGTGCAGGTCAGGATGACACCACCAAAAGCCAGATGCTTTCAGTGCCTCCAGACAGTGCTGCATTGCTTTCCACTTGGTTGGTAACAGGCTTTGCTAGAAGCCTCTGGAGAAAAATTCCAAGCAATGGAGGGACCAAAGAGCTTCCACACAGCTGATGGGTCTCTAAATCTGTAGCTTCAGGGTGTGTTTCTACCAAAGCAGGTGGTGATCCATGCCAGGCCTGCAGGGTGCCATCCCCCCAACTCACTCGCAAGATCTACCATTTCCTGAACCATGTAAGCTCTAACTCAAGTAGTTTGTCACTTTGTCACTAACCACCTAAGAATCCCTCCCTGTGCCAGGAGTTGTACAGGACTGCATGGCCAGGTGTGGTTGGAAGGATAACAGAGGATCTCAGCAGACCTCAGGTCCATATTATCTGTCTTGGAAGCTCTCGCATCACTAAAGCTCAGCCCTCACCTCTGATTTCAGCAACTCCTTCTACAGAAAGTTCACCGAGTCCTTCCACAAGACTCTCCCATTTTGACTGTTCTGCACCTTCAATCTCCTGTTTCTTGTTTCTTTTTTTTTTTTTCCTTGAAGCTCATGTCTGCCAGGAAACAGTCCGCTTTTTATTTGTAGGAACGTGTTGGGTACCAGCTCTCATGTATCCACTTCCTCTGTACATGTGAAGCATAGCTCACTCAAACGGGTTTCCTGTGCTCTGTATTTTGCTTTCTATTACGTGAAACAGGGATGCACTGTGAGAAAGACGCTTTAAAAAACATTCCACATTCATACCTTGTTTCTTACTGTTGCTGCACTGGTACTGGCTGTGGGTCTTTTAAAAGAAATCTCCTGTTTTGACATATTGTCTGACATGTATACTAAGCAATGTCACCAAAACTCTCTTTTCTTTAAGAAATACACACTCACAATTTGTCATTCTGGATCCCCAGTGCAACAAAATTAAGACTCATATTGTAAGACTAAATGAAGCACAAACTGTGCACAAAAGTTATGTCCATAGAGTGCCTCCAACTGAAACTCATTGAACAGAAATGTCTATTCAGCCCTGAAGAGCCAGGGCCAGCCAACAGATAGTAGACCCAGGGACTTAGAAGAAATTTAGCTCATCTGCTAATATAGTTCCTACTCCTTGTTGTCTCTTAAAGCATTACCAAAAACATTTATAACTTCTGTACTTTTGTCCAATAATTTGTCTTTTAATAGTTTTATAGAATCACCGAATCAACGCAACCGTTTGGGTTGGAAGGGACCTTAAAGACCATCTAGTTCCAACCCCCCTGCCATGGGCAGGGACACCTTCCCATAGACCAGGTTGCTCCAAGCCTCATCCAGCCTGGCCTTGGACACTTCCAGGGAGGGGGCATCCACACCTTCCAGGCGC